CGTATACGGTGCGGGATCGTATTCATCGGGTCTCGGGGCAAAGTCTCTTTCGTAAGCTGGATAGCCACGACGTTCATCCTGCTGACGAAGGCGGCAGTAACGGGATATATGACCCCTTATGCCACAGTAGAAGCAGACGGGGCGTGGAGGACGCCATGTAGAATAGTGGGGTGGCCTTGGCACTTGCGTTGCCATCGCAGCCAAATGGTCACATCCGATGTCCGCAGGCACGGTTGGAACTGGTGCTGGGGCCCGTGATGCAACTTCTGTGTACGAAGGCGCCGGAAAGTGCACAGGAGACGGGGCATGCGCAGCGCTTGTCATTGCTGCCAGTTCGTCCTTGATTATCTCACGCAAGTTGGGAGGAGGTGGGCGGACAGACGGAATGGTTGGGTTGCCTGAAATAAGGCCGTGGAGTTCCTCCCTGACAATTGTGCGGATAAGGGCTCGCAATTCATGCTCTTTGGTAAAGCGAGCGTCGCAGGAGGCGTGTGGAAGGCGCATGGAATGAAGCGCGTCCAGGCGTTGGCATGTAGTGATAACGTCCCGGACGGTAGTCGGATTCTGGATCACGAGAGCATTGTAGGCCACAGAGTTGATACCTTTCAGTAGATGTCGGATGCGATCGGCCTCAGTCATGTCATTTTGTGCTCGGCGACAGAGAGCCAGAATATCTTCAATGTAGGACGTATACGATTCGTCGTCCCCCTGGATGCGGGTTGCAAGCTTCTGTTTCGCTACTGCAGAGCATCCTGCAGACGTGCCAAATACCTGACGGAGATGCACCGTGAAGGCCGACCAATTGGAGAAGTCGCTCTCGTGGTTGTAATACCAGGTTTTAGCGACGCCATCGAGGTAAAAAGGAACGTAGCGCAGTTTGTGCGCCTCGTCCCAATAATTACAAACGCTGATTCGATCGTAACTGTCCAGCCATTCTTCGACGTCTTCGTTGCGAAGGCCAGAAAATACCGGAGGGTCTCGATGAGAGGTACCCACGGTGTAGTGAAGCCTAAGTGGCTGAGAAGGAGCGGTTGCAGCAGCGGACGCGTTGGGTTCTGCCATCGCTGTTGCTTGAGGGCACAACCGTCGACCAGACCGGAGCTCCAGGGGTGAGGGGTAGAGCAGGAGGACGTGGGAACCAAAGCACGCTCCACCACTTATGAGACCCCGTCCGGTACGGCAGCAACCAGGTTATCTTTTTTAAATCCAGACGCACGAGCCAGAGAGCCAGCCAGCGTGACATACGATGATGATCACTACAATGGTTTGGTCATACAGATGAAGATGAAGTACATAGTCAGCGCTCACAGGTAACTGTTTAGGTAACTTTTAAACAGTTGTAATGCAACTCCACGCACCCCATAACTTGATCATTTATGAATCAATGATTTGAATTGTATGGAGTCAAATGCCTTTTGAAGATCGAGGAAGAGCCCAAGAGTATATTTTTTGTTTTCCATATTTTCGATTATCTTATCTTTGATATACAGTAGAGCTTGTTCTGTTGATTTATTTTTGTGAAAACCATACTGACTTTTTGCTATTATTTGGTGCTTATCAAAAAAAGATGAAAGTCTATCATAAATAACCCCTTCAAATATTTTTGATATTGTTGGAAGCACGGATATAGGTCGATAGTTCGCTAAAGTATTGATATCACCACCTTTATGTACTGCAGTGACTTTTGCTACTTTTAACTGCTCTGGAAATACGCCGTTAGTGAGGGTGAGGTTGATAATATAGGCCAAGACATTAGATATCAATGGTGACACCATTTTTAACTCAACAGAACCTATCTCATCAATCCCTGATGCAACATTGTTTTTAAGTTTTCTGATTAATCTTTCTACTTCAACCGGATCTGTGGGTGCGAGAAAAATAGAATACAGCAAAGGAGACTTATCAGGAGTTGGATTATTATCTCGCTTTTCATCCGTTAAAGTAAAGGAACCCGCATTTATGAAATGTTCATTCATAACATTGGCCAACCTTTCACCACTGAAAATCTGACCATTAATTGTTAGGTCCTGTGTCCTATTACAACCCTTATTTCTGTTCGTAAGCCCATTTATGACCTCCCATAGCTTCCTCTGGTCATTGTAAATGCTTTCAAATAATTTTTCATAGTAGTTCTGTTTAGCCTTCCGTATTTCTGAATTTAAAACGTTTCTGTATCTCTTGTACTCAGCTAAGGTGTCTGTGTTCCGCGAACGGATGAAATCATGATACAATTTATTCTTTATTTTTATGCGCCGGTAAAGATCACAATTTATCCAAGGCTTTCAGCATTTCTTATTTCTGCCACGTGAGCGCTTCTGAAGTGGAAATGCCGCATCATAGCTAGCACTCAATAACGTCATGAATGTGTTATAAGCATCATCAGGATTTTCTTGTCTATAAACAGTGTTCCAATCTATGTTCTGAACTAGCTGAAAAAAATGCTCCCGAGTTTTGCTGTTTTTAATTCGATGGAAAGATGTCTCTGTTTTCTGACCAATTTGAGAAGTAACTCGTGCAAGAAAGAAGATGGGCATATGATCACTTATATCATACGCAAATACCCCGGATTTTATATTCTGTGAACTTAAATTTGAGGCGCATATATCAAGGAGCGTAGCACTTGTTGATGTAATCCTAGTAGGTCAACGTATAAAATTTGTACTTCCATATGTAAGTAAGAGCGTTTCGAAATCTTTGGCATAAGGATCATTGGAACAGAGGCCAATGTTTATGTCACCCATGACTATGCAAGGAGTATTCCCGCGTGGAGTTGCATTACAACTGTTTAAAAGTTACCTAGAAGATCGTTATCAATATGTACAACTGAATAACACTATTTCTGCAAAGATAAAATTGAACCAAGGAGTCCCCCAAGGGTCTATACTGGGGCCATTATTGTTCCTTGCCTATATAAATGATATTGTCGATATACCTCATTCTCCTGAACTTATAATGTATGCTGACGATACGAATGTTTTCTTTTCATCAGACAATTTAATATCACTTGAGGTCAGTGTAAATAATTATCTAAGCAATCTTTCAAATTGGTTAAGGCAAAATGGACTGCGCTTGAATGCAAAAAAAAACAACCTATATGATATTCCGACCTATAAACAAACCTATTAGTAACATAGCTGTAAAACTCGAAGGAAATTTCATCGCACATGTTAGGGAACAAAAGTTTCTTGGTGTATGGTTTCAGGAGGAATTAAACTGGAACACACATGTAAATCATCTGATCACCGCATTAGCGCGAATAGTTGGTTGTTTTTTTTAGAACAATGCACTTAATCCCATTGAGGTTAAAAATAAGTATGTACTATGCACTCTTCCCTTCTAGAGTAAGTTATGGGATGTTAGTCTGGGGAACGACATCACAAGGGAATTACCATAAGTTAATAACTATACAAAAGAAAATATTGCGCTGCTTTGAAAAATACAGGGGGAATCTACAAGACTTGCGCACTGCTCCACTATTCATTAAACATTCCATACTCATAATTGATCAATTATATCATTTTAAATTGCTTCAGTTAATACAAAAGACTAAGCTATATGAAAAAAGTTGCACCGAAAGACCACACTACAGTCTGCGAGAACAAAAGAAACGAGCTCCTAGAACAAGAACCAAGTATGGAAAACAAAGTATTGCTTACCAGGTACCTCAGGTTTTAAATACCCTTGCAGATCAATTGAACTTTAGGGCTAGTAGTGGGACTTTCAAGAAACAAATAAAGAACTTATTCATAACCACCGGTCTACACTATCGAAACTACGTAATGGAGTCTCATGCCTCTGCAAATGCTTAAATTGTTCATAAACTTCTATGTCAATTATACGAGTGTATACAGTGCAATTAATTGTACCCGCATGCATTTTGTGTCTGTTTTTGAGTTGTTTCATTGATATCGTTTAGTTGTGAATTTTTACGAGAGTGACCTCTAATTCTTAAAATGTGTTATGTAAACTTCTTATGCTATTTATGTTTGAATTTTGTGTTTACAATTGCAGGTTGCTTGAATATATATTGTTTGTCAGTGCTGATGTCTAAGCTTTGCACTGTCACGGACTGCGGAGGGACAAGGGCCTTTGTCAGGCTGTTCGCCTTTAGCCCTTTGCCCCTGCAGTGAGCTCTGTATCCGACTTACTGTAAATAAAAGTACTACTACTACTACTACTACTATTACAATATAGCTTCTATAAAGAAAAGTATATTTCTGCACAGTAACATCCAGTTTCCAGTTAACACAGTTTATACAGAAAAGGCAAAATTTCAGTCCTATCCTCAAAATAGGGCATTTGGAAAGATGTCATTGTTCTCCTAAAGTGAAATACTCCATTCAGTGGGAAGTGGATAACACTTGAGCAAGTGTAATGATATTTGCTAAATGTTCTAATGACGAGGAAACAGATCATTCTGCCACATAGTAAAAAATTTACAGGCTGGTTCAAAAGTTTGCTTTTCAGCCCCAAATTTGCCCTTTAAGAAATTACAGCTCAAGAGATTTTGCCTATCCTGATCGAGGCAGGTGCCCTGTAGTCTGCTAACGACTTTCAACTAATTTGCTAGTACAAGTGGTGATGCAAATGTAATTATTAAAACAGCACGAAGATTGCTAAGAGTATGACGAGTAAAATATCATTGGTAATATGAACAACACTATGCCATTGTGACTGACAAGTGAAAATGTCAGACACCTAGAAACTAGTCTTTCTAATAAGAAAGTAGGTTAAGACACTTAATATTGACAATTGTTGACGTTCAACATCCTACTCAATAAATATAGAATCATAGTTCTGCCATCCTTTGCTCTTGTTCACATTTCTTATGCTTACGCCAACTTTTCAATAAAGGATCTTAACAAACAACCAGAAAAGTATAAGTGGGAAGGTAAAAGTGAAGGAGGTTTTACAACTATTTTCACCTTCGCTAGCATACCAAACTTGTGCTGCTTAATAAGCTGCATATCACTGCAAAACGATGTCACAAACTCTCTTACCGCACTTGCTTTTGCAGGAATGTCTTGTGCAGATGCAGCAACGAGTAGCTTTTTGCAAGTATTCCAATTGACTTCATCCGTGCTCCACGCTCTTCCTCATTTTCTACTTTCATGTTCTCAAAGCAGGAGAGCCCATAGCAATCTTTCCTCTTGAAGTATCTTTCGAAGAAAAAGATGCATATATTATTCATGTTTATGTACTGCTTTGAACGGAAATACTTACATAAAGTCTGTGTGAACTCTGTGAGCTCCACTGGTCATAGCCTTAAACTCAATGCCAGATACATCCAAGTCATCAGGTGTCCACCACTCTACAGTGTTACCTTAAAGGAGAAAATATTTTTATCGAAAATATTTTTATAGCTTTAACGGTAACTTATCCCAAAGCAGATAGTGCACAGATTGAAATTATACCTGAAATGGCTTTTAATGTGCTATGTCCAGCGATAGAATGTGTTCAAATGGACACTGGTTGCCTTGTGCCACACAATGCGATGCAAAATCTGGTGCTAACCTTCTGAGCTATGTGGGTTCGAGTGTGGTCATACTGTACTAACCAAACTACATGAGATTTTTACTTCTCTTTCTCTGTCTCACAATTTGATTTTTTTTTTCAATGAACTGACGCGGTTCGCGCTCCTTTACTACACCAAATTACACCATTATTATTAACGTAACACAAGCTGGGATAACCAAATATAAAGTTCATTGGGGAGGTGGCGCCAACAATGAAGTCAGGAACGCTGCAGAAGACGTGCAATGCTGTCCAGCGCACAAAAAAATTACCCAAGCACATTGACTGCTGAACAACCTGTGCACATCAACGTAACTCAGTTTCGTAACCAACCAGCGCATACGCGTCGTCACGCCGGTGCAAAAAAAAAAAAAGACAAAAAAATCCAATGCATAAAACATGAAGTCAAGGCAAAAGTGTTGCGTCTGCAAAGTCAACTAAACTTCAGTCGACACAGTACTCATAAAAACAGTTTTACACAGCTTGGAAAGTTATACCGAGCTACGTTCCGAAATAATAAAACACATCCATTCACCAGCACTGTACTTTGCGGCAATAACAATTCATTTGGGTAATCACGCACGTAATGGAAGACTCACCCGCTCGAGTGTCAAATGCAATCACAAACACGCCAACAATATCATACACAGTATTGTCCACCAGTTTCTCGCCCGTTCTGTTGTTTGTTCTAGGCGATACTGGTCCCAGCTGGCATTTCATTTGGCATGAAATGTTCGTGTAAGTGCTGTAGCCATCAATCGGTTCATCATCGGAGAGAAGCGGAGCCCGATCGGTCGCCCCTTTCCGTCTTGCCATATTGGCGGTGCGTAGCAGCAAAACTGCGAGCGAGGTCGATTACTCCAGCATTACGTTCACTTATCAGAGCTATTTATTCTTGCCTGCACGAAACCGACAATAAACGCATGTATGACTCCGCCGTATGGCTATTCGACCCACTTGCATGTGCCACCAAACTGCTTCAAAGCCTCCAACACAGCCACAGAACCACAGCCGTGACGCACGGACCGCGGCGACGCCAACGCTTCAGCAGAGTCTGGTAGGCGTTATGTGGTAGAGCACAGAACACTACCGGTAGAGTAGAGTGCGGTAGAACACCGTTCCAGCGAGATCCGATCAAGGAGGATACATAAAACTTGCTGGAGTGGAAGGGGCGCTGTGCGAGTGAAGCCAGCCGCCGCCATCTTGCCAGTGGCAAAAAGCGTGCTCAGCGCATCGCGAGCTGCTGATTTCGTCCGTTCTTGTTTCACCTTGTCGGCATGTAAAGACAAATGGTTTACAATGGTTGCCTCCTGCGTCGTTTACGGATGTGCCAACAGGTTGAAAAAAGGTTGTGGCCTCACATTCCACCTGTACGTACACGAAAACGTCTTCGACATAGCCATTCCGCGCTCGTTACTAAAGGGAGCTATAGCTGACGCGATCTAAGCGTGCAAAACATAACAGTCCGGATTTGTTTTACAGGTTTCCTAAAGATCCCGTAACGCGGAGCCCTGGGAGTGGGCCGTTCGCCGTGAGAAGTAGAATGCGAAAGATTGAGATCACTTCGCTCTGTGCACTTCGCGCCAGAGTCCTTTGACCACCTCTTTGACATTGAAGGGAAGCATGTGAAATGGGGTTATGAAGTGGCATTGAAGGCACTTCAACGTGAAGAAGGGTTGTGGCTCGGAAACAAACTTACGGAAGTCCACGTCCAAAGGAAAAAGCAAAAAATGAAGGTATGATATGCTGTACAACTGATCGAGTGCCTCAGTTGCCGACGCTTTGGACTTCTGCGAACAAAAGCTAAAGATGCCGCGATTCAAGGGTGCCAGCTCAAGGTCTACGTTTATTAGAACTTTTGATCGCTTGTTTGACATCTTAAACTCCAGGAACCCGCTGGCAAGGTCGTACAAAGCGCCCCTTCGGCAGGAGAATGAAGCATTCTGGAAGTCGTTTTTTTTTTTTTTTTTTTTTTCGGAGACTCGAGCGTACATAAACGGGCTGAGGGATCTGACAGTGACAGAAAGACCGAAAAAAAAAACAGATTCATTGGTTTTTGGATGGCAAGCACAGAAAGAATGTTTGACAGACTTGTCAGCCAGGGTCAGCTGAAATACTGACACAAACTCAGTCAAGACTGTGCCGAAAACTTCTTTGAATGAATAAATTACGTGGATGAGGCGGCCCTAACAACAACCCAACAGCTTCGCAGCTAGTTTATGGCTGCATACAAGCGTCTATTGGTTCAGACGGAAGTCACGTCTTGAAGTTTTGGACACTGCAAGATGTTCTCTTCGTATTGAATGCAACGACTCCTGCAGCATGGTAGATCCAAGAAGAAATCTCACTGACATGCGCAAGGCCCCAGTCCGGCAGCCCGATGACCCCGACACTACGCATCGCATTGACTAGCCCGAAAGCTTTCCTGCTTAAATTTTGTCGGTTCCGTGGGGCCACACATAGCAGGCTTCATTGTTCTAAAGGTCGAACTGCAACTACCTGTGAAGAGTGCATAGCAGCCATGCGATCAGATGAACTGACACCTTTTATTAAATGTAAGAGGCGAGGTGGTCTTGTTTCACCGTCGCGAGATGTCATTAGCCTCTATAAAGAAGTCGAGGACTGAGGCGGCTGCAAGCTGAATGTGATTCCATCACAACGGTGAAGTTAAGAGCAAAACACCTCATCCTGAAAGTTCTATGAGCTTCCTCTGAGAAAAACTGGTTCTATAAACTAGAGCAGCACATCCTAGAGTTTGATACGCTTGATAATCAGGTTTACAGTTTGTGCAGGCAAATCGCCGAACAATACGTAAAAATGAGGATACAACACATGACGAAGGGGAAAAAAACGAGAATCGGTCAAAAGTAAGGTGGGACCACTTTTGACAAGGGCAATAATTTTCAACCACCAGTAGGGCACCTATGTTTTCGATGATGTGTTTGCTTTAGGCATCGCTATTTGATGCACATGCACTTTAATTGAGTTCTTTACATGCCACTTGGCTGCGTACAAGTCGCAATAAACGTTTACAACCAGAATTACTTGTTTTCGTTGCTTTATAAACACACGAGTCACTTATCCCGCAGCGCGATGAAGCATAAAGCCCAAACTCCATAAGCGCGAAAATGCACGCGACAGCGACGCGATGTAGATCGGCGTCGCGCGATCAGTCGCTAGCGCAGGCAAACCTCATTCACGCGACGGCTTCGGCGAGCGAACTTCACTGTTGCTGGCATGAGGCCGTCTACTCGCACCAAGAAAACCGCGTAGCGAGCGGTTCCCAATTTAAAAATAAGCTATATTGTTGTGTAATAAAACGGAAAGTGTTTATTATTGCCTTGCAGCATTTTTTATATGCGCATGCTTAATAAACATTGCGTTATTTCTTGTTGCGCATACGTGCCTCGGGCAGGGTCACGTGCACCTATGTAGTCTTCGTCTTTTCCGGTTTTTCGCTATTGGCTGCTTGAGCCCAGCACTTCCGGGCGATGAGCGACGGTTTCCAAATCTGGAGAACCGAGCGATCGCGCGAAAACGAGCACGCGACACGTCGCGCGAACGCCCTGTTTCGTCGCTCATAGCGTCGCTCGTCGCTGTCGCGTTTATTTTCGCGCTTATGGAGTTTGGGCGTTAATTTGCAGCACTCGGCTCTTTTCTGCCACTGGCAACATGGCCGCCGCACGCTCGGCACGGCTTCGCTCTCTCCCGTAGCGGCGCATAGGCGGCTTCCACTCCAGCAAGTATTCTGCTGTATCCTCTTTGGATCCGATCTATCTGAGCTAGAGTCACGGATATTCCTCCACCGTGGCTAGAGTGTACTAGAAGTATGGTGGCTAGATACTAGGAGTGTTCAGTAGCATGACCGCGCCTCGCCGCCTGATCTCTTCTGCGTTGCCCGCAGTGGTGGCGCTGCAGTCGAATAATGCTCATTATTAAGGCAGTGAGCAAAATAATAATCGATGGAGAAGTTCCCGATGGATGGAAACTTAGCAGGATGAGCATGATCTATAAAGGAAAGGGGACAAAGCTGACATAAACAACTACCGTCCTATAACAGTGACGTCAGTGGTCTACAGGCTGGCGATGCAGATTATAAAGGAAAGACTGCAGGCATGGATACAGGATGAGGGGGTGCTGGAGAACTGCAGAATGGGTTTCGGAAACACAGGAGGTTGGAAGACAATCTGTTCTCACTGACACAGTGCATCGAAATAGCAGAAAAGGAACACAGGCCCCTGTGGCTAGCATTTTCGGATATCAAGAGAGCATACGATAGCGTGGTTCAAGAGAAACTGTGGGGAATACTGGACGCACTAGGCGTGGAAGATGTAGTCACTAATTTTTAAAAGATCTATAAAAGTAACAAGGTAGTTATAAAGTGGGAAAAACAGGTATCTAAGCCCACAGAGGTGAAACGGGGGCTTAGGCAGGGGTGTCCTCTGTCACCCTTGTTATTCATGATGTACCTACAAGGATTAGAGGCCAAATTAGAGGGAAGTGGACTGGGTTTCAACCTCTCTTTCGTCAAACAAGGAAAAATCATTGAACAGGCACTACCAGCATTGATGTACGCAGATGATATAGTGATAATAGCCGACAACAAGGAAGATTTGCAGAGATTGGTGGACATCTGCGGTAATGAGGGAGATAGGTTAGATTTCAGATTCAGTTAGGAGAAATCAGCAGTCATGATTTTTAATGACAATGAAGGTAGTGAGCTTAGAATACAGGAGGTCACGCTAGAGATAACAGATAAATACAAATATCTGGGCGTATGGATAAGCAATGGGGCCGAGTACCTAAGGGAACACGAAATATACGTGTCGACTAAAGGTAACAGGAACGCAGCAGTAATGAAAAACAGGGCACTGTGGAATTACAATAGGTAAGGTGTTATGAGAGGAATATGGAAAGGGGTCATGGTTCCTGGTCTGACGTTCGGCAATGCGGTCTTGTGCATGAGATCAGAAGTTCAAGGAAGATTAGAAATTAAGCAACGTGGAATAGGTAGGCTTGTCTTAGGAGCTCACGGGAATACACCAAATCAGGGAGTACCAGGTGATATGGGATGGACATCATTTGAGGGCAGGGAAGCTAGCAGCAAGATAAAATTTGAGAAGCGCTTGAGAGAAATGGGGGAGGAGCGTTGGGCTAGGAAGGTATTCAGCTACTTGTACATGAAGAATGTCGATACAAAATGGCGGAAGCGAACCAGAAAATTGACTGGTAAATACTTGGAAAACAGCAGGGGGCCAAAACAAAAAGAATTATCGGTTAAGAAGAAGGTGAAGGAAGCTGAGACCGATACGTGGAGAATTTGCATGATTAAGAAATCCGCACTAGAGATCTATCGAACTTTTAAGCAGGAAATAGCCAAGGAAAGGATCTATGATAATACTCGGGGTAGTTCTCTACTGTTTGAGGCCAGAACGGGAGTATTGCGAACAAAGACATATCGGGCCAAATACGATGGGGTAGACACGATATGCAGTGCGTGTGGAGAGGAAGAAGAAACTGCCGAACACTTGATAATGTTCTGTAAAGGGCTCCACCATTTAGTTCAGGTTGATGGCGCAGAGTTTTTCAAAGCACTGGGCTTTAGGGACAGTGAGGGCAAAATCGACTTTAAGTGGGTAGAATTAACTAGAAGGAGGTTATCTGATTGGTGGCTAAAGTCAAGGACCGAGTGAAAATTGAACCCTTCGCTGCAAAGTACGAATCCTTAACCTCACTATTTAAGAAAAAATAATAAATCGAGTTTTTGGTTCATTAAGTAATATGGCTTGATGGCGCTAGCCACCGCCCGATCCAAAGAGTACAGTCATAATCACCTATCTATTCATCTATCCATTCGTTCAGTGAGTCAGCGATCATGGGAATGATGGGTAGTACTATAGTGTACTAGAATATGGGGTACTGTGTTCAGGCATCCTCTCTCGCCGATGGATGGATGGATGGATGGATGGATGGATGAATGGGTGGATGGATGGATGGATGGATGGATGGGTGGATGGATGGATGGATGGATGGATGGATGGATGGATGGATGGATGGATGGATGGATGGATGGATGGATGGATGGATGGATGGATGGATGGATGGATGAATGGGTGGATGGATG